TACTCCTTCTTCCTGATGTTGCTGTCACTTGGCACCACTACATCTATCACCACTGCTGTCTTCTGGTCCTTTTCTGCTACCATGATGTTTGGCTGATTGGCCAGTACTTGCTTGTCTGTCTGGATCTGGAAGTCCCACAGGATGTTAGCCCTGTTATTCTCCATGACCTTCTGTGGAATCTTCCAACTGGACTTGGGAGGGTCTAGCCCATACACTGTGCAGGTTTTCCTGTACACAATGCCAGCTACTTGATTGTGCTGTTCAGTGTATGCTGTTCCTGCCTGGATCTTACACCCTGCCACTACGTGTTGGACTGTCTCTGAGGCTTCTCTGCACAGTCTGCACCTTGGGTCCTGTCTAGCGTGGTAGACCCCTGCTTCTATGGATCTGGTGCTCAGTGCCTGTTCTTGTGCTGCTGTGATCAGTGCCTCCATGCTGTCTTTTAGTCCAGCCCTTTCCAGCCACTGGTAGGATTTTCCAATGTCAGCCACCTCTGCTATCTGTCGATGGTACATCCCATGCAGGATCTTGTCTTGCCATGGGACTTCCTCCTATCTAGTGAGAAGCAATTGGTTCTTCTTCTTTATTAAGGTTTCCTGCATTGCTTTGAGATAATTTCTTTGATTTTTTTTTTTTTAAGAACTCAGTTTTGGTCCCGTTATATAATACACCAGTTGGTGAAATCTTGTTAATTCCCTGAATGTTGTGCTATTGGCAGGGGGCTCTGGGAGTTGAAGTCCACCCATCTTAAAGTTGCCAAGTTTGAAAAATACTATTGTAGAGTAACAGTTTGGTTTTGGAGTTCCAATGGGACTGACCTTGAATATGTATAATTCTGAGCAATTTTTTTTCTCCCTTAGGATGATGAGGTTGTCCTTCAGTGTTCAACCGTACTCTTCAATGAACAACTGAAGTTATGTCTGGCTGCCGAAGGCTTTGGAAACCGGCTCTGTTTTCTGGAACGTACCTCTAATGCTCAGGTATGTTCTGAGGAATTGGGGCAAGTGGGCAACTGGAAAGGTCCATAAACAACAGCTTAACCCACCTTCCATGACCTGAAGCCACCTGATGGATTGGATTTTCATACTGGAATGAAGTATTTAAATCTATCAGACTGGAGAACTTGGTTTTCTTTCCATGGATGGATTGGCCAGAATTGATCAGATGTTGAGATTGAGGCCAAGAGACTTACTCTGTTTCTGAGAAAGAGTGTGGTGTCAATCTTGCAATTGTGGAAATTAACCACCACAGGACAACACAATCTTAGCATACACTGTGTTGATTTTTCATGTTGAAGGCTGTCTCAGGAATTTTTAAGAACAGCTTTGTGTAAGACAAGTGTCTTCTGTTGTTTTTAGCTTGAATTGGCCCCAGGAACACAAGGAGTAGAAAAGAATATGGGAAGAAAGAATTCATCATGGTTCCTGTAGAAACAAGATCTGCCTGTAATCTAAAATTATATCCAAAATTAAATCAAGCCACTTAATTTGAGGCCTGTTTCCATCTATGATTCACGTCTCCTCTGTCTCTATTGCTACAAGGGGAAATCAATTACTCTTCTTTGCTTGAGAGTGGCCCCCATGTCCGGTAATCACCATTTCAAGAGGAGTTGTTTAGTCTTTTGCAGCTAATGGTTTCTAAGGTGCCACACAAGACTCTTGGTTGTGAGTTCCAGGAATTATGTCTAGGACTTCTTTGTGTAAAGAACTTGCAAGGTTTTATTTTCTATCTCCTGCTGTGGCCAGGTGGTTGTGATGGTGAGGAGGTCGTACAACTCAGTCGATAGAAATAAAACCCAGTTTTCTATACCCACACAGAAAATCCCTCCAGATCTGGCAATATGCTGCTTCAGTTTGGAACAATCCTTGTCCGTACGAGCCCTGCAGGAAATGCTGGCAAATACAGTGGAAGTGGGTGCCGAGGTAAGAATGGGAAGTTCTCCTTCCTTTGCAGGCAGTAGGTTGGGAGGACAGGTTCAGCCAGGCACATGGTATGCCTCCTTGAGATGAGATCATGGATGAGAATGTATGCGTGTATACAAGAGAGGTACATGTATCTTACGAGGGTGAGCATCTCTTTCATTGTCTGGCATAAAAGCTATGTATGTGGATAGATGTCATCCTTGCAAGGAAGTCCAGAGAAGAAGCACACCCAGAAGCACTAGCTGTAACTTTATTGTAAGGTTACGTTGACAGAATCTTGCAAGTCTGAAAGTACAGCTCTCCTCCCTCATCTTTACAGTCCAAGAAAAGGGTCCCTTCTGAGACATTTGCCACACTCCTATTCCTTCTGCAGGCTCAGCTACCTCTCATCTGACTGTTGCCTAGTCTGCAGTTCTTCCTCCTGTCTCCCGAGGTCATTCCCACATATTATTACAATAGAATTCTGGGTTGTGGTTTGGATTAGGAGGGGGCACACTGGCATTGGAATTGGGTGGGTGGGGCTTGAAGACTAGGGAAGAGTCACTTTGGAGTTAGGTAGCACCAAATTGAATTAAATAAATAAATAAAATGGCAGTCACTGTTGATAAGTATTGCTTTCACACTGTTCCATCTTCATGAAATCATTCTCATTCACTTATTTGCTATGGAAAATGCAGATGACATTAAAGAGTCACTTTTTTGTGAGATGGGCAGTATCTAAATTTGAAATGTAAATAAATAAATTATTGTTTTGTTCACCTACCTTTTTTCTAGATTTGTGGGTTTTTCAGATTTGATTTTGCTCCTTAAAAAAAAGGAACTTGCAATACTACTATGTTGAATCCAGCCATTTTAGGACTTTTGTGCCTTGAATTAGTAGCTTCCTCCTATGGTTTTTCAGTGTGGCTGATGATTAATGATGAATTGCCCCTTAATTAGTCAACTTTTGTGCCAGGCAGAAGGTGCCTTTCAACCTTTATTAGTTTCCTTTTCTATGTTTTAATTATCAAAACAGCACTGTTTCTCTGTAAAATAAAATCATAAAGTAAAACAATAGTTCTTCCCTGTAAAACTAAAAAATTAAGCAGTAATTAGTCCTCCAAGAAAAAAAATGTCAAAGGAACATTTTAATTAACATTACAGTGTCCTTTGGTGCATATGAATAAGTGTTATAAAGGGATAAGAGGCAAGGCTCTTCCCAATTAAGAACTCTGTGTGTAATCTCAAATTGAGTTGCACCTAGCTAGTTGTAGAAAAGTAGTACTTCACCTAAAGGGCTTTAGTGTGGAAGCAACCAGTTATCAACTTCTTACTGGTGTTGCTTCTAAGTCATTGACTGCTACCTGACCAGCAGGAATCAAGGCATGAAGCCTTTCCCAGAGCTGTATCGAAAGAAGGTTCACCTCACCAGTTTGATTTCTGCTTCTCAGACAGCTGTTCAATGCAAAAATATTTCCCCTCTAAAACTGCAATGATGAAAAACCAAGATCTGCTCTTGTGTGTCACGTCCTGGTTTAATTCCATACTCCTCACTTGATGCTGAGCATTTCCTGGGTACGTTCTCGGCTTTCTCCCAGTGGGGATAACCTGATGGAAGTCTTGAATGGTGAGTGAATGAGGGGTGCCCTTTTAAGGGGTGAAGTGGGGCATCCAACAAGTCTCAGGTGTCCCACTGTGCCCATTGGCACTTGGTCTGAGTAATCATCAATGGTTCATCTTCTCTTCCTCTTCTTTTCCTTGGCTTCTCAAATCTGCCGACTGACCCTCTAGGGTGTTGACTTGGACAAGTGGGTAGGTGCTACCTTTAGTTGCTGCCGTGATCCCACCCACCCATACCCTCCCTTCTAAACCTTTTCTCCCACTTCTCCCCACCCTGTTTTGGTGTGTGCCTCCCAATTCCTGCCTTTCTGCTCGGGGTTCCCACCTCCTCAAGTTCAACCAGAGCAAACAAGTGGCAGATTTCAAGAAGACAGTAGATCTGCCATGGGGGGCATTCAGAGCCTTTCACCTAGAGGGGCACAACTTGTTTTGGTTTGAAGGACGTTCCAGGCTGCTCATGCTGTTTTGAGGGCCAAGGGCCCATTTGGGAAAGAGGGTTCAGATGTTTTGAGGGATGAAATGGGCATATTAAGTATCTGCAAATCATAAGACACACATCTGGCCTCTTAAAAACCTCCACTCCCCCCCCAATACAAACAGGAGTTCTGCTCCTAGGGCCCCCAAATCCCTAAGATGCCTTTCCTCTAAGTTATGCTAGCTATCAGCTGCCATGCAGATGTACTGAGATACATCTCCCAGAATTCTCATCTGACTCAGAATGGGAGCTGCATCTGGAGTGTGCCTGGTTTGGTATTGTATAGTTACTGTGCCCCCTTCTCATTTAAGAATCCCACAAACTGTCCCATTCTGGCAACAGGCAAGTTCTCCTTTAAGAATAAATGTGTCTTCCTCCTCCTTTAAAGGAGATTTCAGTTCCAAACCAGTTGGAGATTCCCATGAAAATGTATAGCAATATGAAAGTCTGATTGTGAAGTTGGGGGGACCCTGCCGACCCCACAGTTGTTAGCAATGGGTTCTTTGTCTGTCTTCCTTGTCTGAAACCAGGTGG